TACTTAAAAATGTCCTGTTCAATGTGTTACTTGCTGTTACTTGCAATTATTTACATTTAAATGATCTAGCAATATCTAAGCTATTTTCTTTTTACAGTCATAACTTTTACATTTAAAAGTATCCAAGCAATAAAGTTAATCTCAATATAGTCTAATCTTACATGCTGGTTCAACAAAATGCTAAGAAAGTTGATCTTCTTTGTGACCCTATATCCCAAAAAAATCTTAAGTTGTGCAGATATATTTGGCAAAATTCAATAATACACTGTATGTGTCACAATTATTAATTTTCCTTTTATGACAAAAATCAATAGAACATTAAATTTATGTTTATATCATATGTAGTAAATTGTATTAGTTGATCCTTGTCTGTATGTTGCCTGTAAAGTTCATCACCTTGGAATTATAAGGTTCTATCTGCGTTCTGAATGATTTTGAGATATTGAGCATCAAAGTTTTTGCATTCCATAGCAAGCAGTATGTGTGTAACATTTGCTTTTTAAATAAAAAGTCTTATAAACTTATATATAAAACATCCCATAATGTAAATAAGTTGTCATTTAATAAGAATTTGTCAATAACTAAAGAAGAATTTGTCAAAAAAAATGTCAGATAGAACCTTATAATTCTAAGTTGACAAATTTTATATTGTATTCAGATGTTCACAGCTTTTGGAAAATGTGATTCTTATAAACTGCTAGTACTAATTTAAGAAAGATTTAACCATGCAACTACTATATGTCTAAACAAACTTAAGATTCAAACCATAAATGAACTTCTGTAGCCTTATAGACTGTCTGCTGTCTCCCTCTGCTGGTCGTTTCTTTGCAAAATTATTTTTCAAAAGCCAAGAACTCTCTCGAGGAAATGTCTGAGATTGAGAAACAGAGAAAGCGTGACACCAAAGAGCTTGATGAAAGTCTAGTTTCAGTGATTCGGCTCTCATTCGTCAAGAGCTGTTGAGGTTCACAACCTCACTAAATCACCTGCTCTCCACACCACTGCAGATACATTCATATTTCAATTTCATGAGGGTCCAGCTGAGTGCAGTCTGTGTAAAACCCCAGTCCTCGTTTCTCTAGTCTGATGATCTCCAAAGTGTGGGTTGAGGGAAAGCAGTGGATGATCCAGAAAGATGAATAATGGCTGAAGTGTGGATTGATACAGCGGTAAACCGCGGGAGATTCTTTTACAGAGAGATAGGGAGTTTTCAACTGAGATGAAAAAAAATGCAAAGGGTATTTCTGCATGCACATATCAAGCTTTAAATGTAAGAAAATTGTCTAATAGAGAGTATTATATAACTTCAGTCAAAATATGAATTGGTATTAAATGGATGAAATAGTTTTTTATTAGTTTATCATTCGGTGTAACTGATATGGTAAAATGATAGCATAGAGCTGCCTGCTTTTGCACAAAAATATGTGATCTTACTGAATTGTATTAGGACTATATCACTGCTGAAAGAAAAAGTAGCCTTTGTTTTGATGGTTTGGTGGTTATGTGCTGGTTCTTTATCTTTGGAGATTCTTGCGGGTCATACTGCTCTGAACAGCACATGGGCTGCAAGAACCACACACAACCAGCAACCAGTGTTAACCAAACCAGCATCAAAACCTCACCACCGGCATGCTGTTGTTTCTCAGCAGAGATATTAAGAAATTAGGCTACACACTGGAATGAAAGTATGTCTGACACTATATTCTGAGCATTTATTAGCACAAGCCTTAATCTTCTCTTAGCTGTTTAACTCTAAAGAGTTTGAGCCTCTGTTAAAGACACAACGCCAAGTTTTATTAGCCTACTACTATCATCATCAAAGGTATTGTAATGATTGCAAATGTATACATTTCAGGGCTTTTTATGTTTTAATTGTTTAATTGTTCATAGTGTATGTGTGTGAATGAGTGTGTATGGATGTTCCCAGTGTTGGGTTATAGCTAGAAGGGCATCCGCTGTGTAAAACATATACTGGATAAGTTGGTATTTCATTCCGCTGTGGCAACCCCAGGTGAATAAAGGGACTAAGCCGAAAAGAAAATGAATGAATGAATGAATGAATGAAAGAATGAATGAATGTATGAATGAATGAAACCTATATTTGCAGTATATATATGCACATATGATAATATATTTGCTGTATATATGCTCATATATGCCACATATAGGAAAAATTAAGGTTCATATATAATATGTGCATATTCAGGCCATATACTGTAGGACTCTTGTATAGCTTCTTTATACAGCATACACATATAAACCCTTTATGTACATACAATATGTGTCTCCTATATAGCTCATATCTCACTTTGGCAACTGTCATACATGATGCATATAGCTCATATTTTCTATTATCAAAGCAATAGCTAAGAACCAATACAAAATTGCAAAAATGCATGTATGTGCAAACACTTGAAACTGGTATCACATGTAATTGGCATGTTATGGAATTTAACAATGGCAAATAAGTGAGAGCCCACACGGAAAGAACCTATAGGTTTTTAATATATGTGACATGTAAAATTGGCTGTTTTCTATGTACAAATAATATATGAAACTAGTCAAGTTTATATATGTCACATATATTAAAAACCTATATCAAAACTTATATTAAAACATATATGGTTATATAAGTTCTTTAAGTGTGGGAGGTAAAGCCAAAAGAAATTTTTTTTGTCAGTACCCATATAGCAAAATTTCTCTGGCCCAGCTTTGGCCCACACAATTCATTTATTACTTGACCAACATGCCGCAGTGAATTACGGTACATAACTGGACCAAGTCTGGCTTCTAGGCATGGGACGATAATCTTCTCCAAGGTAAACCAAGGTTTGGAAAAGTTAAGGTTTTAAAACCGCCAACATTTTCTGCCAGAAGCGGACTGGGACTAAAAATCAGCCCTGGCATTGTAGCCACACCAGCCCACATTACCACACCGACACAGCCCCACCCAAGGACACGCACATTCACTACCTATATTGGTGTACAGATGGTAAAATTATGTAAGCAGTACCTATTTAAGAGATATTTAAACATTTAATGTATGTGACTGGAACAAAAACAACCCATTATATGCAATTATGTCATTCATTTTCTTTTCGGCTTAGTCCCTTTATTAATCTGGGAATCGGCAACTTATCTAGCATATGTTTTACAGTGGATGCCCTCAAAGCTGCCACCCAGTACTGGGTTACCCAATTCCCAATTGGCCTACCCAATTCACCTATAGCATGTGTTTGGCCTTGTGAAGGAAACCAGAAGGAAACCCACACGAACATGCAAACTCCACACAGAAACACCAACTGACTCAGATGAGGCTCAAACCAGCAACTTTCTTGCTGTGAGGTGACAGCACTACCTACTACACTACCTACGCCACTGCACTGCCCCCTTTCGAGACTAGTTTAGTAACTTTTATGTATTTGGCAATATCTGACTTGACTGCCTTTCCCTTTTTATGGTCTATCTCTGACAATTAGCTTGTGATGCACTTACTGTTTGTTTGACATTCTTGGCAGATTTTGATTACGTCTGCGTAACCTCAGATTGGGTCGGCCAATCTCGAAACCAGCCGGTTGTTGCCGATTGAGCCAATCCTTAACATTTACTATTATTCTTACTATTATCACCATCATCATCATAATATTCACATCTCGCAAGAGATAAAAGCTGCCTATATTTAAAAAACAATACATATGACAAAAAAAATTTACCGGCCCACCTTTAAAAAATGGTCCAGCCCTTCTGGCATTTGCCAGAATTGCCAGATGGCCAGTCCGCACCTGCACCGGAATAAGTGATTTTGTTTGTTTCAGCACATGTCATCAATTCAAACAAGTCACATGAAACCAGCAGTATAATATAGGATGTATAAAAGTGTAAAAATGTAGTATACAAGTTGATTTTATGTGTACTTATTGTTGCTTATGTGTCAACAGGATTATTTTAAATACTGAATGCTTTTTCTTTATTATTATTATTTCTTTTTAGCAAAACTACATTATGTTTTTTAGTATTTTTATCTAACTAGGGTGCACTGATATGCTTAATTTTGAAACATGAAACCAGCTAATATTTCTAAAAGGGTTAAAACATTTTGTAACACACACTAACCTGGTTTGGCAAGCTAACTTTCGCAAAACGTGTCTCGTTTATGTCTAGTTTTATACATTTAAAGTTTATCAATTTGAAAAAATAACTAATAAATGTATATCTTACACATGCATGCACGCACACACATATACATATGTTTATGTTGTGTGTATGTGTATATACAGTCACCGGCCACTTTATTAGGTACACCAACAAGGTCCTGGAAATATTCCTTAGAGATTTTGCTCCATATTGACATGATAGCATCACGCAGTTGCTGCGGATTTGTCGGCTGCATATCCATGATGTGAATCTCCCGTTTCACCACATCCCAAAGGTGCTCTATTAGATTGAGATATGGTGACTGTGGAGGCCATTTGAGTACAGTGAACTCATTATCAAGAATTCAGTCTGAGATTATTTGTGCTTTATGACATGGTGCGTTACCCTGCTGGAAGTAGCCATCAGAAGATGGCTACACTGTGGTCATAAAGGGATGGACATGGTCAGCAACAATACTCAGGTACGCTGTGGTGTTGACACAATGCCCAATTGGTACTAATGAGCCCAAAGTGTGCCAAGAAAATATCCCCCATACCAATACACCTGTGTGTGTGTATGTTTGTGTGTGTGTGTAGCTGCGTCTTAAGGTGACAGAGTGCATAGGGCCGTAGGGGCCCAGCGGCAGGTTACACTTTTTTCTTTTCCTGTTTCATCTTCTCATCCTTCTCCTTTTACTTCTCCTCCTCATCGTCATCCTGCTGCTGATTATTATTATCTTTTTCAGTTTATTTACAACACCAGACACACAAGAGTTCATTTTAATCAGATATTTGAACAGATGAACAAAACAGACGGGGACAAAAGAATTTGAATGCATCTTTTATTGTTTTTCTCCACCTCCTCCATCATCCTCTCATTCTCCTCCTCTTATTTCTCCTTCTCATCATTCTCCTGCTCATCCTGCTGCTGATTTTCCTCTTTCTGTTTCTCTTCTTCACCTCCTCCTCCTCCTTTATCTCCTCTTTCAAGTCCATCATCTCAATGTCCTCCTCATCCTCCTCACTTTCCTTCTCCTCTTTCATCCTGCTCCTCTCCTTCTCCTCTTTCCTCCTGCTCCTTCGCTCCTTTTTCTCCTCTTTCATCCTTCTCTTTCTCTTTTTCCTTCCATCCTCCTCCTCCTCAGTCTTGTCCACCTCCTTCTCCATCATTGTCTCATTTGTTTCCTCCTCTTTTATCTTTCTCTCTTTCCCTCCATCCTCCTCTTTAATCTTTTCCTCCTCCTTCTCAATCACTGGCTCCTCCACCTTCTCCACTTTCTTCCTTCTCCTTCTCTTTTTCTTGTCTTTCACCTCCTCCTCCATAATCCTGTCCTCCTTCTCCTCCTCTTGTTCTCCGCAGGATAAGTCAGTGTGTGTCAGTGGGATTTCTCCTTTACTGACGTCCATCTCGTCCTTAACAGAGCGTATTTCATGAATGATGACAGAATTCACATCCAGACAGTTCTCAAACGTGGAGCAGCACAGAGAGTCATCTGTTAGAGGAGAAATGAAGTGGATACACATTTTACACTGTCATTTTCAAGATGTCTGTGTGAAGAATACAATGTATTAATAGCATTATAGACTGATGTGTTTATTTACCATCAGTGCCCTTGTCTGGAGAGTTTGGGAGCTCTTTCTGCTCTTCCTCCTCTTCATCCTCCATCTCTTTGTTGGACGTGAGGCAAGAGATTTTCATGTGTTTTCTGCACGCTCTGAAGAACGACGCCAGCCGGCTCTTTTTCTTCCTCTTTTCTTTCAGCTCATCTGTTAAAAGGGAAACGATTGTAGTACACACTTTTCCACAGTCATTTGAGAGGAAATACAAAGAAAAACAATATTCAAAGATGTACTGTGGATTTACAACATTAATTTTTAAGTTAAGTGCTTGTAAACAATTTATTTGGGCTGAATTTAAACAAACAAATTAGGTTGAATTTTACTAAATTTGATTTGTTTGCTTAAATTCAACACATATAAATTGTTTGCAACAACTTATATGAAGCTCTCGAATTTAATCTAAGATATATTCATCTGTGTCCAGAACATTAAGGAAGGTCTCATGGTGTTGGAACTACACAAGGTTAAGCAATTAATAACAGAATTGTAATTTTTTGGGTGAATTAATCCTCAAACTGTATAGAATGTGGTTTAAATAATCTCATATCAGGGAAACCCCTTTACAATGTAGGCCTAAATACCGCTCACCATTGGAGCTGTCGGGTGTTTGACTGGACTGCACATTTTTCGGGTGAGCTCTGAGGAAAGAGGGCAGTTTAAAGAAGCTCTTTTTCTTCGGCTTCACCACTGGTTCCTCCATTCTTGATTGGTCGTCCTCCAGTTGGAAACACATTGTTGACGGTGTGTCACTGGGATATTTCTGGTCCGCAGTCATAGTGGTGGCAATCTCGATCTTACACCGTGGATTGCCAAAAAACTTCGGGGTATGTAGCTCGGACATCAGCAAATCACCAGTAGCTTCGCTAGTTTGAAAAGCCATGAATAGCTCAAGTTTTTCACTAGGAAAGCTGTTTAGTCGATGTCAGACACAAACACTGCTACAACCTCTAAGCCAGAGTTTTCAGAGTGCTGCACAGCTCTACGTACAGCTCAGAACGCGTTCTAAATGATGATTCTAAACTGTAACTATGGCAACAGGACACTTCTCTGAGATGTTTTCTTTCAAAGAGAAATGACTGAAGATGAAGTAAAAGTACATTAATACACATCTCAGCTGGATAACCTCCTTTATAAGCAAGCAAAGCTGTTTTATTTGTGAGTTTTAAATAATAATTAATTAAAAATGGATATATTTGATGGCAGAGGACTAAAAAAAAAGTTTTGTGAAACTCAAACAACAAAACTCCCTTCATAAATACACTTTAAATAACGTATTACAAAAATACAGAACTGCAATACTTTTGTACTACACTCTCAGAAATAAAGGCAGGAGAGCTGTCACTGGGTGGCCCCTTTTTAAAAAGCTACATATTTGTACCTAAAAGGTCCCTATTAATACATCAAGGGTACATATTAGTACCTAAAAAGTACAAAAGTCTACCTCTTAAAATGTTTAGGTACAAATAAAAGCTTTTGAGGTGTCATTATGGACCCTTTTAGTGCAAATTTAAAAAGGTCCACCCCAGTGACAGCTCTTGTACCTTTATTTCTGCATCAATCAGGGGCGGACTTAACCAATAAGCAAGGTAAGCAACCGCTTAGGTCCCCGGGAAATAGGGAGCCTTGGCCAATGCCAAGAAGCCTATATTAATAACCCTAAAGGTATTTAATAGTGTTTCTATTATATGTTGTAAAAATCTGTCTATAATCATTAAGATTTTAACGTTACTACTTCTTTTCTAAACCGGGGCCCCTATGAATAGTGAAACGTTCCTTCCTTACTGGACATGCAAATATTAAAATCTAGTCACAAATCATGGCTAAACTGTACATAATTTGTGAGCTTGTTTTTTTATTTGTGAATTTAGATAAAAACACATCTCAGCTGGATAAATTCCTTTATAAGCAACCAAAGCTGTTTTATTTGTGAGTTTAAATAATAATTCATTAGAAATTGATATATTTAATGGCAGTAGACTCAAAAAAAAAAAAAAAAGGTTTTGTGAAACTCAAACAACAAAACTCCCTTCATAAATACATTTTAAATAACGTATTACAAAAATACAGAACCGCAATACTACACTCAGAAATAAAGGCAGGAGAGCTGTCACTGGGGTGGTCCCTTTTTAAAAGCTACACATTTGAACCTGAAGGGTCCCTATTAATACATCAAGGGTATACTAGTACCTAAAAAGTACAAAAGTGTTCCTCTTAAAATGTTTAGGTACAAATAAAAGCTTTTGAGGTATTTTTATGCACCCTTTTAGTGCAAATGTGTATCTTTTGAAAAGGTCCACCCCAGTGACAGCTCTTGTACTGTGAAATATACTTTAAAATACATAAAATATATCCAACCAGTTTCTATAGGTATAAAGTTAAAATTTCTGTATCAAGTGTTTTCGTGTAATGGATGTTGAGATTATGTTATGCATTTTTTTTATTGTATGTATGTTAATTTTTTCTGGTTCGATGTTGAATGTATATTTAATATACTGAGTGGTCATAGAATTATTATTAAGAAAAGAGATGTCAGATTTTTTATAAAAAAGATATAGATAAGAATCTCCCGTTTATGTTTAATCTGTTGATGTTATTAGGCAAGTTTCATATTCACAAGTGTAAATGGTCGGAGAGGAAGCCTAACATCTTCCATTTCAAGGCTGATTTAAACATTTATTTTGAGACTCTTAACGGAATTTCAAGTCGTAAAGCGACCAGAACTGTGAATATGCTAAAACAGCTGAACTCCTCTTCTCTATGGTAAATGTTATGTACACCAGCTCCTATATTTGTTTTGTTTTTCTTTCTCTCCTTCTTTTTTTCTTTCTGTTATTTTTGCTTACACATGTTATGCTAAAATGTGAAACATTGAAAGAATTGTTATGCATTTGATTGGAAATGTTCAGCAAATACAATCAATAAAATTTTTTAGATGTATCCTTTCTTTTACTTTTTCTCCAGTCCTGCAGATGGCGGGCACTGAGCGCTGAGACTCACTGAAAATGAATGAATGAATGATAAATTGTTACATGCCTACTCAGAATCTGTTTGAGCATCATTTTGTGTAATGGTGTGTTTATTAAATGGCTTTGTGTGTTTCCTCAGGAAGCACCGCTGTGGGTTCTGGCTCTACATCCAGTTTCAGTCCTCACTGGTGTCTCGGAGAAAGAGGTATTGAGCTCCACTGGAATAACGTTAAAACTAGGGCTGTGTACTTAATCAAAATACAATCTCGGACTCAATTTTGACCAATTGAAAAAAAAACTACAATTAAGATTAACTGATTGTTGTGCCATACATAAATACAGTTGACGCCAGAATTATTAGCCCCCCTTCGAATTTTTTTCTTCTTTTTAAAAATATTTTCCAAATGATGAACAGAGCGAGGAATTTTCACAGTGTGTCTGATAATATTTTTTCTTCTGGAGAAAGTCTTATTTGTTTTATTTCGTCTAGAATAAAAGCCGTTTTACATTTTTTAAACACCATTTTAGGGACAAAATTTTTTTCCGATAGTCTACAGAACAAACCATCGTTATGCAATAACTTGCCTAATTACCCTAACCTGTGTAACGACGGGGTGGAGTGACAGAGACAACAGGAGGTAAGATCCAATATGCAGGTTTATTCAGCGTCAGGCAAGCAGTGGTCATACAGGTACAAACGGGTATGTGTAGGCAAATCCAGAATCGTAGTAATATAAACAGGCAATAGGTCGAAAGGCAGGCGGCTAAACAGGAGAACACAGATGAGCAAGGCTAAGATCTAAACACAGGAAAACAAGACAGGGAAAACGCTTCGTAATGCTACTGGTACAGCTAACAAGACTCAGCAACCTGGATGGGTAAATGCGTGGCTTATGTAGGGAGTGTATCAGTCTCTGACAAGGTTCAGGTGGTGAGTGTAATCAAGCTAGATGAATGAGCATGGGTGTCTGGGCGAAGTGCATGTATGAATATGTAGTCCTGGGAAAGGCGGAAGTGTAGTCCATGGTTATAGTGTGAGAACCAGCGATCGCTCTCAAGAGTTATGTGACAACCTGCCTAGTTAACTTAATTAACCTATTTAAGCCTTTAAATGTCACTTTAAGCTGTATAGAAGTGTCTTGAAAAATGTCTAGTCAAATATTATTTACTGTCATCATAACATCATAACGAAGATAAACTAAATCAGTTATTAGAGATGAGTTATCAAAACTATTATGTTTAAAAATGTGTTGAAAAATATTCCCTCCATTAAACAGAAATTTTGGTAAAAAATAAACAAGCGGTCAAATAATTCAGGGGGGCTAATAATTCTGACTTCAACTGTATACGTATACACTACCTAACGAAAATGATGTCGCCTATCGCAGTTTTAGGAACAACAAATAATAACTTCTAGTTGATCATTTTGTATCAGAAGTGGATTATATGAAAGGTAAAGGCTTCTAGATTAGATCATCCACACATCTCTACAATGACTCAAATCACTTTACTCAAATCACTCAAAGTCATCTGGAAAGGCAAAAAAAGTGTTCCTGTCTCAGAGTTCATCAAGATTCTTTGGATTCATCTTCAATGCCTCCTCCTTCATCTCACCCCAGACAAGCTCAATAATGTTCATGTTTGGTGGCTGGGCTGGCTAATCCTGGAGCACCTTGACCCTCTTTGCTTTCAGGAACTTTAATATGGAGGCTGATGTATGAGAATGAGCACTATCCTGCTGAAGAGTTTGCCCTCTCCTGTGGTTTGTAATGTAAAGGGCAGCACAAATGTCTTGATACCTCAGGCTGTTGATGTTGCCATCCACTCTGCAGATCTCCATACTGAATGTAACCCCAAACCATGATTTTTCCTTCACCAAACTTGACTGATTTCTGTAAGAATCTTGGGTCTATGTTGATTCCAGTAGGTCTTCTGCAGTATTTATGAAGATTGTAATGAAGTTCAACAGAAAATTCATCAAAAAAATCCACCTTCTGCCACTTTTCCAAATGATCATCTCGAAGTCAAGTTATTATTTGTTGCTCCTACAACTGTTGTTTCTCTTCCATACATACATAATACTTTTAAATAATTGCTATGCGATTACTATGTTGACCAAAATAGTCATTTGATTTTTTTTCTGTAATCGAGCAGCACTAATTTAAATGTTTTAGTCTTATTGTTATTAGACTCTAATAGTTTTTTTTACACAACCTCGTTCTGTTGTCCAGCTATGGATTCTGATTCTTGGTGCTGCATTTGGATTTTCCTCATACGGACCGATCGCCTTGTTCGGAGTGATTGCGAGTGAAAGCGCCCCATCCAACTTCTGCGGGACGTCCCACG